TTTATTAATTAATTTATTTATTTATCTATAGTATTAAGATACTATCTTTTAAGGATTTTTGTTTAGAATTAAATTGTAGCTAATTTTAACTTAATGTAGCCAAGGTATATTTTAACATGTAAATAGTGTCCCCAATTAGTTTTTTTTAAGCTGAATACCATTGACACTTAATTTAAGTCATTCATTCATTCATTCATTCATTCATTCATTCATTCGTTCGTTCGTTCGTTCGTTCATTCGTTCATTCATTCTTTCTTTCTTTCAGTCCCTATATCAAGGCTAATAGTGGTAACTATTCTATGTACAATTCTTTAGCCATAAGTTCTTCTAGTCCGAAATCAATTAAGCTTGAACGCTAAACCATGTATTAAGGACAAGGAAACATGGTGAAAAAGTGAAAAATATGAAATGACGACAGGCTTATATGAAAGTAGTTGTTTGGACTGTGCATCACCTTGATAACCCCTCCCTCTTGGCATTTACATCCCAATAACAATAACACACTGAGAAGATCAACATTAGGATATTTTAATGGTAGGATAATAGATTACATCCTCGAATTAAAACTAAAATACTATCGCCTCGTGGATCCACAGCTATTTTGACAATGTTATGAAGAAATTCATGAGCAATAACGGGACAGATGCATGAAAAACTATGGATACCAGGGCCCCTATGGATACCAGCCTCGTTGCTGAATGGGCTGCCCTGATTAAATGANTTTGCTGGGTCGGTTGCGTCGTCCCCCTTGTCAGTGGGAGTTTATACTTTTGATATTTTGATGATATCTTGGACGGTTCCCTGTTGCAACGATTGATTATAGATTGCTGTAATAACTTGTCAACGGTTCAATATAAGTTTAAGTTTATCTTTTGTTGCAGTACCTTTTGTTGATCGCAAAAACCCTTGAACTGCACGTTTACTACAAAAGATTTTATATAAATACATATATCACGCTACGTTCACACATTTCATTTATTAATTAATTAATTAATTAATCTATTTATTTAGATATTATCTTTTAAGGATTTTTGTTTAGAATTAAATTGCAAATAATTTAAACTTTATGTAGATAAGGTATATTTTAATATGTAAATAGTGTCCCCAATTAGTTTTTTTTTCTTAAACTAAATACCATTGACACTAAATGAAGTCATTCATTCATTCATTCATCCGTTCATTCTTCTTTCTTTCTTTCGTTCTTTCTTTCTTTCTTTCTTCTTTCTTTCTTTCAGTCCCTATATTAAGGCTAATAGTGGTAGCTATTCAATGTACAATTCTTTAGCCATAAGTTCTTCTAGTGCGAAATCAATTAAGCTTGAACGCTAAACCATGTATTAAGGACAAGGAAACATGGTGAAAAAGTGAAAAATATGAAATGACGACAGGCTTATATGAAAGTAGTTGTTTGGACTGTGCATCACCTTGGTAACCCCTCCCTCTTGGCATTTACATCCCAATAACAATAACACACTGAGAAGATCAACATTAGGATATTTTAATGTTAGGATAATAGATTACATCCTCGAATTAAAACTAAAATACTATCGTCTCGTGGATCCACAGCTACTTTGACATTGTTATGAAGAAATTCATGAGCAGTAACGGGACAGATGCATGAAAAACTATGGATACCAGGGCCCCTATGGATACCAGCCTCGTTGCTGAATGGGCTACCCTAATTAAATGAATTTACTTACTTACTCACTTAGTACTGACTGGCTGACTGACTAACTGACTTCCTTCCTTCCTTACTTAGTTACTTAGTTACTCAGTCACTCACTCACCTTTTAGCAGAGTTAAATGCTTCAAATGGCTCTGACGATGTCGAAGATGTCGCCGTGACAACTCTACCACTCATACAACCACCGGACCAAACCTTCAACTACAGCAACCGTCCCCCCAAACTCGACGGCGAAGCCTCCCAAGTACTACACCTGGTCATCAGGACCACAGAGTTTTTGAAACACTGAAATCTTCTATAGAAAAGGTTATTGAGGAAAA